GGGATGTTGACTCCTGTATTTTTGCCTGGGTGTTTCTTTTTTTTTGTATTTGAAAGAATCAACATCAAGGTCTGATTTAGGTATTGCTGCTGATTCAGCAATTGCATAGTGGGAAAACCTCGCAACCATTCTAGATAGTCATTGTCCGTAGATGACCAGACTTAAGTCTGGAAATCAAAGATTGTTGTTCTCTTAGGAGGACAGAACCAGTGCTTGTCTCTCTTGCTCTGTACCAGTCATGTGCAGCATTAGATTTCCATTCCCCCCCCCCCCCTCCCCAAGACCTGTTAACTGCCTCAAAGTGGTGGGAAGGTGACCCTTGGACAGGACAGGTGAAGTATGTCTGGAGTTCTGAACTCCTGGTACCCAAGACATGAATCCCACTATGTCCAGCTTCTCTTCTTCTTTCTTATCTCCACTCAATCATATTAGGGTGTCAAGCTTGTAAAGCTTGAGACTTTTGATGGTGTCTGTTGACAACCATCATGATTGGGTGAAGTAGAATGTGCCTGCCTTTGTCATTAAGACTGGGAGCACTACTCAGTGGCAGGCCGACTTAGCTCTAAAATAAATGGCCGCCTCTGACATGAGAAACAAACGCCATGTGCAGCCGCTCCTAACATGGAGTACAAACGCTGCTCATCCTGTATCCCTAGATTAGGAGCCTTTACAGGGTACTATCAGCCGGGCCAGCTGAGCCCAGGTTTTTTACGAGCTTGTTACTGCTCCCCCTCCTCCTTTTTCATCCGGGCTTGGGACCAGAAAAGGCGGACTATGCGGACAAAGACTAAGTCCAGCTAAATGTTAACAGTCGTATTCCTACCTACATCAGATGTATCATCAACAGACATCTAAATACTCCAATGAATTCTGCTCCTCTCTCTACTCCATTCTAACTGGCATTGGGTCCTGATGGTATGGGAATGGTATACTTTATCGGGTGGTAGATTCATTTACTATTGAATACAGTAAATGGATGTTTTGAAAGAATGATATGATGAACCATGCCTTCTTTCAAATTTTATTCATTGCAGTACAAGGGATTGAGATTTAAATTACAATTAAACCTGTCTATAGCGCCCCCTCTTTAAATTGCGCCTCCCTCTCTATAGCACCTGATTTTAAATACGTAGTACGATGCAATTTACATTAAAAGTGACCTATCTATAGCACCCCCTCTCTCTATAGCACCCTATTTTGGTGAGTCCCAAGAGAGGGCGCTATAGACAGGTTTAACTGGATATATTTAAAAAGAAATGTTGAAAATTTCCAAGGATAATTCTGTCTGTATATCAAGTCAACCTGCTGTCATTTTGTTCAGGGACAGAGCAGGGAATGAACTGGCTGTCAAGGTTGAAGCAGTTTCTAACTTGGTTTCATACAGTTAAGCCTGTCTATAGCACCCCTTCTAAATAGCGCCTTCCTCTCTATAGCGCCCTATTTTAAATACGTAGTACGATGCGATTTACATTAAAAGTGACCTGTCTATAGCACCCTATTTTGGTGAGTCCCAAGAGGGGGCGCTATAGACAGGTTTAACTGTATATAATACATAATGAATGTTTTAAAGTTTTGATTTAATTATGTGCAGGTGAACATTTGTTTTTTACACACAGTCTGTATTTATCTAATTGACATTGTAAACCAGTAGAATAGCATTGTTGCTTGAAAACTTACTTATCCAATAAAATAAAATTTAAAAAAAGATACAAATTGTTACATTTTTAGATCATATTTTTGAAATTTAACTTGGTTTCCTTCTATTCCATCTTATCCTAAGGTCTGTTTCATGACTAAGTGCAGTCTTATGCCTTCCTGTCCATGATCCATCTTGGGCACATCCACCATGGGCACATCATGGCAGATCTGACATTGAGTCTTCAACGCAACCTGTTCTCACAGCCTGCAAGAACTTGTGCAAACAGTGGACCACCTTCATTTCAACTGTCCAGCCTTCCTGTTGCATAGGTTACAAACATCTCTGTTACTCAGAGTACAAGACCTCTGCCAGCCCTACATCCCTCTTCCCAAACTGGGCTTGCAACTCCCTGGGTTTACCCCCGCAGCTATTGACTAACTCCCCTTTGGCTGATTCCAAGCCCGGATGAAAAAGGAGGAGGGAGAGCAGTAATAAGCTTGCTGAAAATCTGCGTTCAGCTGGCCTGGCTGATAGTACCCTGTAAGGGCTCCTGATACAGGATGAGCAGCATCTGTACTCCACATGGCGCCATTTCTTCATGTCAGAGGCGGCTATTTTATATTGGAGCTAAGTTGGCCTGCTACTGAGTAGTGCTCCCAGTCTTAATGAAAAAAACAACGCATTCTACTTAACTCAAATCATTATAGATGTCAAATCTTCTTTGTGATGAGCTTTACTCATCTTCAGCAAACACCATCAAAAGTCTCAAGCTCTACAGGCTTGATACCTTAAAATGATTGTTGAGGGTAGATAAGAAATAAGACCCCTTAAGCAAACTGTTCTCTCCATAACTAGAACTTACTTCTAGACTGTGGCAGTACAGCCAAGGTATAGTAGAACAACCTCCATTAGAAGACACTTCTGCTAGAGAACATCTCTCTACAAAGTACAGCTTTCACCCCCAACACTGCCATTTTTATTGATATATCGATTAGAAAAAGCCATGGTCCACCTGTGCTGTGTGAGCAGAAGAGCTTAAATTGACTGTTCCTTTATATGTATGTTCCATATGTAAATAGTACCTGTTTTTTTTTCCTCTTTTCGCTCTCCACTTCTTCCATCCATATTTCCAAATCCATATTCTTATTTTCCATAGGATCATTCAAATAATAATCTGTATATATTTATCATGTATATATAATCCTTCTCCATTTTTACCCCTTTGTATATTTCCCACTTTCATGGGTTTCTCCGTCTTGTAACCCTAAGGAGAATCCTCTGTAAGACCAGTGTGTCTTAATAAAGGTTTTTGTGTGTGTGTGTGTGATATATTGATTAGAACATAAGGTAACAAAGCCGAATCTAAATCAATTAATATCAAATCAATATCATCACTACTATAATGATGATAATTTTTATTCTCACAACTGAGAGAGTTCCACGACCTCTGAGAGGAGAGACAGAACTATTGATCTCTGGATAGATACATTTGTTTGAGGTGTAAAAGTTCATGCTTTCATTTCTTATGTATAGATTGTTCGTGGTGGTGTCTTGTCCATGGAGCAGATCAGATCGGTCCGTTCACCCTGATCACAATACCGGCCAACTGAGGTGGTGGTGTCTTGTTCATGGAGCAGATCAGATCGGTCCGTTCACCCTGATCACAATACCTGCCAGCTGAAGTGGTGGTGTCTTGTTCATGGAGCAGATCAAATCGATCCATGCACCCTGATCACAATACCGGCCAGCTGAGGTGGTGGTGTCTTGTCCATGGAGCAGATCAGATGGATCCATGCACCCTGATCACAATACCGGCCAGCTGAGGTGGTGGTGTCTTGTCCATGGAGCAGATCAGATGGATCCATGCACCCTGATCACAATACCGGCCAGCTGAGGTGGTGGTTTCTTGTCCATGGAGCAGATCAGATCGGTCCGTGTACCCTGATCACAATACCGGCCAACTGAGGTGGTGGTGTCTTGTCCATGGAGCAGATCAGATCGGTTCGTGCACCCTGATCACAATACCGGCCAACTGAGGTGGTGGTGTCTTGTCCATGGAGCAGATCAGATCGGTCCGTGCACCCTGATCACAATACCGGCCAGCTGAGCTATTGGTGTCTTGTTCATGGAGCAGATCAAATCGATCCGTTCACCCTGATCACAATACCGGCCAGCTGAGGTGGTGGTGTCTTGTCCATGGAGCAGATCAGATCGGTCCATGCACCCTGATCACAATACCTGCCAGCTGAAGTGGTGGTGGTTTCTTGTCCATGGAGCAGATCAGATCGGTCCATGCACCCTGATCACAATACCTGCCAGCTGAGGTGGTGGTGTCTTGTCCATGGAGCAGATCAGATCGGTCCATGCACCCTGATCACAATACCGGCCAGCTGAGGTGGTGGTGTCTTGTCCATGGAGCAGATCAGATCGGTCCATGCACCCTGATCACAATACCTGCCAGCTGAAGTGGTGGTGGTTTCTTGTCCATGGAGCAGATCAGATCGGTCCATGCACCCTGATCACAATACCTGCCAGCTGAGGTGGTGGTGTCTTGTCCATGGAGCAGATCAGATCGGTCCATGCACCCTGATCACAATACCTGCCAGCTGAGGTGGTGGTGGTTTCTTGTCCATGGAGCAGATCATATCAGTACGTTCACCCTGATCACAATACCAGCCAACTGAGGTGCCTTGTCCGTATGTATGTTGATTGTTTGTTATTGCCTTATAACTAATTGATATCAATTTGTCCATTGCTTTTTTAGAATCCTTTAGATTTCAAAAATGTGAACTTTGGATAGCAATGTGTGATGATTGTATAATAGTGGTGAAAACCTTGATTTAATTAACATTGGTTAGGTATCAGAAACTTCTCATGTGAAGCTGTGTGTATTTAACCATTTCAACAAGTTTTGGTCAATGTGGACTGGGGATAAAATAACTTTCATTCTCTAGTGTATGATGTAATTTTGTACAAAATCATTCCTTTTTTACCTTGTCCTTTATTGATCCTTTTATTCAATAAATATATAGTTGGGTGATAAATTTATATTTTAATTTGTTATAAAGAGGACTGCGGCGTATGATTATAAACAACACTTAAAGTTTCACCGCATAAGTTTCTTTTCTGTGAAAAATCAATATTTATTTCAAAGAGAAATATTTACTATTTCTAACTTTTTTGGATGAAGTATGAAAGGGTGAAAATATGAAGAGTAATGGCGAACGGAAAAATAAAAGTGTCCAGGGGCGGGAATTGAACCCACAACCTTCCGCTTACTGGGCAGATGCCATGTCCACTAGGCTACCCTGGACGTATTTTTCCGTTCGTAAATAATACTTAAAGTAACTTATAATACATTATATTTATAGCCTAGTGGACATGGCATCTGCCCGGTAAGCGGAAGGTTGTGGGTTCGATTCCCGCCCCTGGACACTTTTATTTTTCCGTTCGCCATTACTCTTCATATTTTCACCCTTTCATACTTCATCCAAAAAAGTTAGAAATAGTAAATATTTCTCTTTGAAATAAATATTGATTTTTCACAGAAAAGAAACTTATGCGGTGAAACTTTAAGTGTTATTTTAATTTGTATTTCTTTTAAAAAAAAAGAGGTAATTTTTAGAAATTTCTTTAGGAAAATTTTAATTTTCCAAAATAATATAGTATTTTTGCTTATCCCTAGTACACGTGGTACAGGCCATGATAATCATGGTGGGTAGAAGTAGTAGACTGCTTTTACTGTAAGTGCACCACATGTCTACACAAAAATAATATCTTCTCTATAAAACTGCAACACAGTATAACTTCATGATAGAGGACACTCCTGTTAAAGGACACTCACTAAAGGACAATTTCCACAGCCAAATTTCCACATTTGTAGCAATTAATAGCTCTTTAGTAAGAGGACTTCCTCTAACCTCCACCTTTGTCAGTCCCAAGCCCGGATGAAAAAGGAGGAGGGGGAGCAGTAACAAGCTCGCTAAAAAACCTGGGCTCAGCTGGCCCGGCTGATAGTACCCTGTAAGGGCTCCAGGGATACAGGATGAGCAGCGTTTGTACTCCATGTTAGGAGCGGCTGCACATGGCGTCTGTTCCTCATGTCAGAGGCCGTCATTTCATATTGGAGCTAAGTCGGCCTGCCACTGAGTAGTGCTTTCAGTCTTAATGACAAAGGCAGATGCATTCTACTTCACTCAGTCATGAAGATAAGAAAGAAGAAGAGAAGAAAAGGACTTCCTCTTACTAAACTTCCAACTTTCTTCCTAAAGGACACTATGCAACTAGGTATTGTCCTATACAGAGAGGTATATTCTACAACATATCCCAAAGTAATTTGTAAAGAAAACAGCTCCAAGGCTGAACTCCTTGTTTAATGGAGTAGCAGCAGGGGAATGACACAATAAAAGATAGAGGCTGCCTGGCCAGCATTCATAGTTATTCAAATTAAAGATACTTCAGCCAGTAAAGTTTTACTGGCCAAAGTATCTTTAATTTGAAGAACAATAAAATGTTTGATCCTCAGATGCTGTTTTTTATTGTTTGTTTACCTTAATGTTTAATACACTTCCCTCTTTTTAAAAAACAACATTAACAATTTTTTTTAATATTCCTAGCACACATGGTACAGGCCATGATAATCATGGTGGGAAGAAGTTGGCACATGTGAAAAGCAGTTTGACTTTTGCAATTACAAATGTGTCAGAGCCCCATTTGGTTACTTGCACTCGCTGGTGAGGTTGGACTTTTGCAAGAATCGGGGGCCATTTTTTTAAATTAGAAAATAGTGCCCAATGCAGGATTCAATCCCGGGTCGTAGCGGTTGGAAACCAATGGTTTAGACCATCCTTCCACCAACCCACAAGATTAACATGATGCATTAGTACACCATCGTCATAAGAAATTTTAACTATTTTTAACACATTGATTCTTTTTAAAAAATAAAATAATTTTCTACTGCGATGATAAATAGCCCAATGCAATATTACAGCAGTACGGTAGATCAAACTGGCGAAACCGCTGGGAGGGTTTACCACTGATGAGCCAGGCCCTCCCATTAATTTTTCATTGTAGTAAGGGCAGTAGAAAATTATTTTATTTTTTAGAATTATTTAGAATCCATGATATTTGTATATATCAAATATATATTTAAACTATTTATACACCCAACCCCCTCCAATTTCTCCTCCCCCCTCCTATATATTCTATTTATTAAGCCCTAAAATAAAATAATATAATAATAAAATAAATAAACAAGAACTGGAGGATCCCACCTAAGCACAGTTGGTACAGTGGAGTGAACCCAGGAGAAGCTCTGAAGATCAGAAATAGACAGCATCAAACAACACTAACAAGATTTAGAACAGGCCATCTCAAGCCATTGAAGATAGAAAATAATAACAAAATTTATCCCACTTGCCCAAAATGTAGCTTGACACCTGCAGCTCCAGAACACATTTTGGCTTGCATTAGATGCACTAAACAGGACCTTTGGGAGAGGCCGCTGCTCATCATAAAACAGCTCGAGGAGCATGAACTCATGGAATTCGTGTAATCTTTACACAAGGGGATAAGAAACAACAACAACAACAATAAAAGTATAAAAAAAAAAAAATCTAATAGCACTTATTTTTTTGTTTGGTGCTATTAAAAAATATATAATAAAATATATAAAAATAATAAGAAAAAAAATATATATATCCCTATATACAGTCGAACCTCTTTAATTCAACACCCCAAGGGATCAGAGTTTTCGGTTGAATTAAAGGAAGTGTTGAATTAAGGTTAGATGATTAGCTAATCATCTAACTCACTAAAATAATATTTTTTTAAAATTGCCTTGTAATATAAATTAATGATATTAATTGAAACCATTGTATGTACTTTAATTTATTCATTTATTTTTATGACTAACTTTTAGTATCAGGGACAAAATGGCATTAATACATATTTTTGAAACACAAATAATTACAAATAATATTTTATTCTAATTGAAGAATATAGCAGTTGATAGGAAATAAATATGGAAAATAAAAAGAAAATTTAAAAATAATATTTTAAAAGAATCATGAAGATCTTTTTTAAAATTCCTTTATAGATGTCTGTTTTTGCACTGAAATCCTATTCAGGATGTATTCCAGATGGTCTATTTTAAAAAAACATGCATGCCTTTCTTCCTCTGGAATGTGTTTTAAATAACAAAGAGTTTTTATTGTATTAAGGGCATCCACTGCTGCTGCAGGTGTTATTGATTTTGTGTTTAAATCTTTTATAATAACACGGAAATGGAATATTGAAATAAAATGCTATCATAATCATTGTGGCTACATTTATGAATATTTATTTATTTGAAGGGAAATTATTTGTAAATTTTAAAATAACTAAAATATTTCAATGCTGAAAATTAAAAAGAAAATAATATTATTAATTAGCGACACGATTCCTAATTTCCTGCGTAAAAAATAAACAACACACGCGACATTGCGCAACAGCACTGCAAAGTGAAACGTAAACTAACAGAAACCAAAAGTGCGCATGCGTGATCCTATTGGTGCCCGCCGTCGTCGCTGCCGTAATACCTTTTTAGCGGTAAAGTTGTATGTAAAAAAAAACATTCAAATGTTGAAATTCGAATTTTAAAATGATCAAACTATCGGAACTGTCGTATTATCGATACTGTCGAATTATGGTTTGTTATTTGATAGGCCGGAGGTCGGGACATCAGAATATGGTAGAATTAAGGTAGGGTGTCGAATTTGCGTTTGTCGAATTAACGAGGCTATACTGTATATAAAAGTCAGTGTATGTATGTGTGTTTGTCCCTATGTCGACTATACACGTCCACAATACGTAACTAATCTGACTGAAATTTTAACAGTATATAGAGTAGAATCTGGAAAAACTTATAGTGAAAACTTCAGGTCTCTATCCCGAATATTCTTCGAGTTATTTGCAAATTGCGTTGCAAATTTGCCTTTTCGCTCGCAAGCAGCGCCTCTAGCGGGGAAGATGGGAAGTAATATCAGCTGACCTAATGTACATGTAAAACGTGTTTTGACAGGACATAGAGAAAAATCAGGAAAAGATATTTATTGGATTTTTAGCCAATAAAAAATAAAATTGACAGGTTCAGGGAAAAAATAGTTATTTTTTTAGTCAGAAAATGATGATGACAAAATTGCTGTATCATGTTTGATTATCAGATACAAAATTATATCAGGAAAAATTCCAAAAAGCTGAGACCACGGGTGAAGCCAGTTCATTTTTAGTGTGCAGGAACAAAATTCTAACAGAAAAACATTCATTCGAGCAGAAGACACAAAGCCAGATCATCTCTTTATAAAAATATTGCTTCTCTGACACAAAGTTTGGAGCGGGACGTTTCACAAAAGTGACATCCACGGTACCAATTTATAATTGTAACGAATAGTATTTGAATAAAAACATTTAATCGGGTAAAACCTGGGTGTTGCCCGGGTCATTCGGCTAGTATATATATATATATATATATAATAGTTTCTATAATAGTTTCAAATTTCACAATATTTATTGATTTGATAATGTTACTAATGATTACCTTATATGACCCAATGATGATGAACCAGGTGGGAGATTGGGTTGAGAAAGGAAGAGACTAAGAATTAAGGGGAGTACTTTTATTTAAACAACTAGAGAGTATATGTACAAAATGGTGAGATCCTACAAAATGGTGGCTGCTATACAAGTAAGTCACTTCCACGGCAAGGAAAACTCGCTGGAACAACAACCCGTGGTTAGACACACATCATCAATCAATCAGGAGGGATTCAATTGAAGAATATTTACCTTTCTTAAAATATAATAACTGGCAGTTTAACTAGAATAACATGAGATCACATCCAAATAGTTAAACTTCATGATGTTTCAGTTTTAAACTCCACCTTTGCCGGTCCCAAGCCCGGATGAAAAAGGGGGAGCAGTAACAAGCTCACTAAAAAACCTGGGTTCAACTGGCCCGGCTGATAGTACCCTGTAAGGGCTCCTAATCCAGGGATACAGGATGAGCAGCGTTTGTACTCCATGTTAGGAACGGCTGCACATGACGTCTGTTCCTCATGTCAGAGGCGGCCATTTCTTTTGGAGCTAAGTCGGCCTGCCGCTGAGTAGTGCTCCCAGTCTTAATGACAAAGGCAGGCACATTCTACTTCGCCCAATCATGATGGGGACACCATCAAAAGTCCCAAGCTTTACACCCTAATATGATTGAGTGGAGATAAGAAAGAAGATGTTTCAGAAACAGCATTGTTACCCTATCTTCAGACAAAACTACTGAATGAGTAAAAAATATACATCACCAAATTTATTTTTAAAGAGTTGGTTGTACAGTAGGACTACCTCCCTGTAAAGGGAAACACCTAGTTGCAGAGCCAAAGTGTCCTTTAGGGAGAGGTGACCTCTT